TGATTTCGTCTTGTTTTATTTTTCCCTCCCTTCCCCTATCCTCTGTCTTGTTTCTTAAATTCTACATACGAGTGAGATCATATAATTGTTTTTCTCTCATTGACATATTTCGCTCAGCATAATACCCTCTAGTTCCATCCACATTGTTGCAAATGGCAAGATTCTGTTTTTGTTTTTTTTTTGATGGCTGAGTAGAACTCCATTGGGTACACCCTCCGACCCCACTCGGGCATCTTCTTTATCCATTCATCTGTCGATGGACATATGGGCTCTTTCCATTGTTTGACTGTTGTGAACATTGCTGCTATAGACATTGGATTTTTAAAAGATTTATTTAGCTGCTGCTACACAGAGTAGACCGTGGAGGGAGCTTGAGTGGAAGTAGGGAAACAGTTGAGAAGTGCTTTTGGTAGGCTGGGTGAGAGATCACTTCAGCCCTTACTAGTGTGGTAGATGTGAAAGTGGGCGGAAGTATTCGAATGCCAAATATATCTTGAAAGTAGTGCTGTTGGAAATTGCTGATGTAAGATTAGAAGGTATCACTGATAATTTCTGTGCCTTGCCTACTGGAGGACTAGTGATGCCATTTACTGAGACTGAGACTAGGAAAGGAGGAGTTGGAGGCAGGAATCAAGAGATTTTATTTTATTTTATTTATTATTATTATTATTTTTAAAGATTTTATTTATTTATTTGACAGAGATCACAAGTAGGCAGAGAGGCAGGCAGAGAGAGAGGAAGGGAAGCAGGCTCCCTGCCAAGCAGAAAGCCCGATGTGGGGCTCGATCCCAGGACCCTGGGATCACAACCTGAGTTGAAGGCAGAGGCTTCAACCCACTGAGCCACCCAGGTGCCCCAAATCAAGAGATTTTAATAGGAAAAAAAAGATTTAAATATCTCTTAAGTTCAATATGACTACAGTCAGGTAGATAGTCAAGTGGAGGTTTGGAGTTCAGGGGCGAGGTCAAGACTGGAAGTTTAGTCTGGGATGATAGCAGCTCGGGAGAAAGTAAAAAGGAAAGAGGTATGGAACTGAGCCCTGGGAACTCTAACATTAGAGGACAAAAGAGAAGGAAGAGGAGTGGTTGGCCCATGGATAAGAAAAAAATGTAGGATAGGGACGCCTGGGTGGCTCAGTCGGTTAAGTGGCTGCCTTCGGCTAGGGTCATGATCCCAGAGTCCTGGGATTGAGTCCCACATCGGGCTTCTTGCTCAGTGGGGAGCCTGCTTCTCTATCTGTCTCTGCCTAGCACTCATCTGCTTGCTTATACTCTCTCCCTGACAAAAAAAAAAAAAATAAAATCTTAAGAAAAAAAAAGAAAAAGAAAAAATGTAGGATAATAATGTCCCAAAACCCAAAAAAAGTTTTATAAGAAGGGGATGTGATTAACTATTACTAAAGAAGAGAGAATGATTAGGATGAGGACTGAGAAATTTACCAGTGGATTTGATTATTAGAATTCGTTAGTGACCTTGATGAATATTTTCATTGGAATGGCAGTGACAAAGCCCGATTGATGTGGATTCAGTAAGTAATAACAAATGGAGAAGTAGAGAAAATTATTTTAAGATGATCCCCATTAATAGGAGCAGGGAGATGGAGTAGCTATAAGAATTAAATAAGAGGTTTTATTTTTAGATGGTATATATTTCACAGGTTTACGTGTTTATATGCTAATGGAAACACATTAGATATTTGATTATGTGGAAACTAATGGGGAGCAGTGTATGTGATATATTCATAAGTACACTAAAAGGATATTGAGAAAGACGGGCTTCTAACCGTTATGGGGCTATTATCATCAGTAAAATAATGAGGGTTGGTCTGGAGGAGCTCAGCTTTGAGATTCTGTGATTATCCAGTCTGGGCCTCTCTGATACCTTTTGTTCATGCATTACGGCGGTTTTATGGTCGTTAGTACCCCTGGAGGCTACAGACAGTTGTTCCCAATGTCACGGTTACCTCAGTAGCCCAAACAAAGCTGTTCAGTAGCATCAGAATGCAATGTCTAATACTCCAGACACACCTGTCTGCCAAAGACTACAGTCAGCTGCCATGGGTGGAGGGAAAACGGACTCTGTCTCTCCTTGCCTTTCTGAACCTGGTGCCAACATATCTTTCAGGCAGTATCTAAATTGTATCAACCTGATGGCAAAAAATAGTGTAATACAGTTTTCAGGCTTCCATCCCTTGCCATGCAGGGGGAGGAGCAAGAAAGGGGCTGATAATTGCCAGTAGGTAATTCCACAGAGGAGGTATTAGATGAAAATTCTTGGCTTAAATGAGGTTTTTGCCTTATCTTTTGATAAACATTTTCATATTATTTTTTCCTTTCCGTTCTGTCAATGAATAGAGAGTTTATTTACCATGTCAGGGGTGCTTGGTGTTCTTTAATCTTGAAGGAATTTTAATGCAGAGAAGATAGTCTTGTTTTAATTTCACAGCCTTTGGACATGAGGTGATCTGTAGTTTAAATGGACGTATTTTTCTCTGCCGTCTTGGGTGCATATGTTTCTGTAATGAGCTTAGGTAATGGTCAGAAATGTGGGACTCTTAGCTGTTACAGAGAAAGGAATGCGAAGGATGAATCTGTATTTGTCAAGGGTAAAAGGAGCTCTTGGTCAGAAGGGGAAGGGTCATTCTGCTTATGCTGCTGTCCATACCAACACATGCAAAAGAATTGGCGGATTCTCTGTCTTAGCAGAGAGAGTTGTAACTGCTCTGCTTAGTCGTTTTTACTCCTCTCATCCCTCTTTGTCCTCCCAGCCGCTGCTTTCAGATGCTTAAGAGGATCCGATAGTCTTGTTAAGATACTCAGTAAATTTGATGAATTGCCCTTTCTTTGAAAGTTCTGTGATCTCCGAGCACCATATCATTGATTTTGTTCATCCCAGTTCATAATTCTACCCTCTTTCTAGATTGCAAGTCTGAAAAAGGTAAAAGGGCACATTCATGAAAATACCTTTCAAAATGAAGGCAAAATCAAGACATTTTCAGACTGATAAAAAACAGATAATTTTTCTTTGGAAGATCTGCTCTCTAAGAAATACTAAACATTTTTTAGGGTAAGGGAAATGATAGCAGGTACAACTCCAGATTAGCAGGAAGGAAGAGCACCAGAATGGGCAAATAACTGGTAAAAATAAATGCTCTTTTTATAAAAAGTATCTTTATATGTGTATGTGTTTTTAAATGTCTTTAAAAGATTATTATTATTATTATTATGTTTAAAGATTTTATTTATTCGACAGAGAGAGACACAGCAAGAGAGGGAACACAAGCAGGGGGAGTGGGAGCGGGAGAAGCAGGCTTCCCGCTGAGCAGAGAGCCCGATACGGGGCTTGATTCCCGGACCCTGGGATCATGACCTGAGCTGAAGGCAGACGCTTAACGACTGAGCCACCCAGGCGGCCCTAAAAGATTATTTTTTAATCAAAACTCGTAACAGTTTATTATGGGTTTATGGGTTATGTAGAAGTGAAATATGAGAGAATAAGAACACAGGTAAATGAAATTATAAAGTTACATTGTTCAAATGACATTTAAAGGCAGACTGTGGTAATTTCAAGATAATCTGTATAACAAACACTAAAAACTAGCACAAAGAAGTAAAGCTAAAAAAGCCAATATAGGAAATAAAAGTGGAATACCATAAAAATAAGCATTTTAGCCAAAAGAAGCGAGGAAAAGACTAAAGAAATAGGATAAATAGAGAATATGTACCAAGATAGTGAACTTATTAACCCCAGCTGTACTAGTAATTACATTTAATGGGCTAAATACATTAGTTATAAGGGAGAGATTGTCAAACTAGATTTTTTTTGAAGATTTTATTTATTTATTTGATAGAGACACAATAAGAGAGGGAACACAAGCAGATGGAGTGGAAGAGGGAGAAGCAGGCTTCCCACGGAGCAGGGAGCCCCATGCGGGCTTGAATCCAGGACCCTGGGATCATGACCTGAGCCAAAGGCAGATGCTTAAGGACTGAGCCACCCAGGCGCCCCTCAAAAACTCTAGTTTTTAAAACTAGTTTCTGGGAAGACCCAGCTATATGCTGTTTACAGGAAGTAACATTTGAGAGAGATTGATTGATTTGAGAGAGAGAAAGAGGGAGAGAGGGTGCACACAAGCGGGGGTGGGCCAGAGGGAGAGACTCTCAGGCAGACTCCCAGCCAAGTGTGGAGCCCCATCTCCGATAGGCTCCATCTCCCTACCCTGAGATCATGACCTGAGCCAAAATCAAGAGTCAGACAGTCACATGACTAGGCCACCCAGGCACCCCTATTGGTGAGATCTTTTTAATGACGGCTTAGTCCATAGGTATATTATGGCATGAAGATATTTGTGTTTAATTCAGTAAACAGTAGGATCTAGTTCCTTTTTTTTTTCTTTTTAAAAGATTTTATTTATTTATTTGACAGACAGAGATCACAAGTAGTCAGAGCAGCAGGCAGAGAGAGAGGAGGAAGCAGGCTCCCCACTGAGCAGAGATCCTGCTGTGGGGCTCGATCCCAGGACCCTGGGATCATGACATGAGCCGAAGGCTGAGGCTTTAACCCACTGAGCCACCCAGGCACCCCAGGATCTAGTTTCATTATGGAGTTTTCACACTTAAGGAACTTTTCATTGGGAAAATAATTATTTTAGACAAATACAAGTTGTTACATGTTCAGTGATATTTTTATGACTAGGTAATAAAACTTGCAGTAATTGGACTAAACATTTGGTCTATATTTTCAAACTTTATGAGAAATGCCTTAATGTTTTAATCTCCTTGAGACACGTCTCTCAGCCCAGAGTATAATGAGAAGAGTTCTAATCTCTATGTTGGTATTTAGTTACGTGAACCTAATATGTCAGAATATTCATGGAAAAAAAAAAAAAAGCATGTGAACACTTTAGTGAGAGTTTAGTAAATGTAAATGTAGAGTGAGTCACTATAGGAAGATCTTCATACAATTTCATTGTATGGCATTACATTTTTTTTTTCTTTCAGGGTGCTCTGGAGCAGGGCTCGAATTCTCAGCTCATGGCTGTCCAATACACAGAAACCACTAGTATCAGGTAAGAAAGTGTGCAGGTTCTTGGCCACGGAATTTTATTTTATTTATTTATTAAAAGATTTTATCTTTTTATTTATTTGACAGAGAGAGAGAGACAGTGAGAGCAGGAACACGAGCATGGGGAATGGGAGAAGGAGAAGCAGGCTTCCCACCGAGAAGGGAGCCTGGTGTGTGGCTTGATCCCAGGACCCTGGGATCATGACCTGAGCTGAAGGCAGACGCTTAATGACAGCCTGGCCATGAAATTTTAAAATGCCTAGTATTTTAATAAAGTTGAAAAGCACATTTCCCTTTTACCTTAAACTTGTTCTCATCTGTGACTTTACTCTTAGCTCACATAACATACTGCTTCTGAGCAGTCAGAGTAAACCCAGATAATTTCAAAAGGCTAACTCTCAAATTCCTTAAATACAGATTTCGTTAGAATGCTGTTCAATCATAATTTTGCTGTAAAATTTAAATAGATATAACTCTTGTCCTCGATTTGTATCTGTTTCGTGAGCCAAGGGGAAGAGAATGTTATTTGAATGTCTGCTCTGTGCCAGATGTCCTGTTGAGTGCTTTCCATGCATTTTAATCTTTGAATCTGTATAATCACTTATAAAGTGTAGGTATCACAGTCCCTATTTTTATATAGAGAGAAACTGGGCAAGTCACTTATTTTTTCTAAGCCAGAGTCATAGAACCAATAAGTGGCAGAATTACCATTCAGATCTATTTGACTTAAAATGCATTTTTTGGGGTACGTAGGTGGCTCGGTGGGTTAAAGCCTCTGCCTTCGGCTCAGGTCCTAATCCCAGGGTTCTGCGATCAAGCCCCACATGGGGCTCTCTGCTCGGCAGGGAGCTTGCTTCCTCCTCTCTCTCTCTGCCTGCCTCTCTGCCTACTTGTGATCTCTTATCTGTCAAATAAATAAATAAAATCTTTTAAAAAATGCATTTTTCACCACACTGATGCCACTTAAGAGTTTGAAGGATTCTTGAAGGAGTGCTGTGCCTACGGTTGAAATGTATGGACCAAACATAACTAAAAGGAACAGTATCATCATGGGAGGCAATGTAGTGTCATGGTTTAAGACGCTAGCTTTTGAGTTGGCAGAGTGCAAATCATTTCTGCCACTTACTTGCTGCGTGATTACATAAACACAAGCAGCTTACTTAAAATTTCCTCATCTACACAACTTGGGCCACACAGAGTTGATGATTAAATTGCATACTTTATTTAAAGCACTTTACACAGCATTTGGCATGTTCAGAAGCTGGTAATGATGGTGATGTGATATACTGAGGACAGTATCACTAAAGTGGGAGTAAAGAGGGGCACTTGGGTGACTCAGTCCATTAGCTGTCTGCCTTCGGCTCAGGTCATGATCTCGGGGTCCTGGGATCAAGCCCCTAACCCTCTACTTGTGCTCTCTCACTTTCTTTCTTTCAAATAAATAAATAAAATCTTTAAAAAAAAAAATACAGTAGAAGTAAAGAATCTCAGCTTCTGTCTGTGGCTCTGCCATAGACTTAGAGTTCACAATTATTTAGTATTAATTTCACATTTACTGAGCACTAGCTGTGTCCCAGACTGTAGAATACATACCCACTAAGTCGAAAGCTGTTCGTTTCCTATTAACTGAGAGTTACTATTAAATGGCAGTAAGCAGCATATCAGTAACCATGAATGTTTAAAATCCTGAGATACTATATTATCTTGTAGAAATAGATAATTCAAATATATATAGTAACCAATAATTCCCTAGTTATCAGAATATTTCATTTGTTTACTATGTACATATTTCTAAATACATTTTTTTTTTTAAGATTTCATTTATTTATTTGACAGAGATCACAAGTAGGCAGAGAGGCAGGCAGAGAGAGAGGAGGAAGCAGGCTGCCTGCCGAGCAGAGAGCCTGACGCAGGGCCCGATCCCAGGACCCCGGGACCACGACCCGAGCTGAAGGCAGAGGCCTTAAGCCACCGAGTCACCCAGGCATCCAATACTTTCATTTTTTAATGGATTTTTTTCTTTTGAGAGAGAGAGAGATCTTGTGAGAGTTGGGTGTGGGAGAGGGAGAGAGAGAATTTCAAGCAGGCTCCACGCTCAGCCTGGAGCACAACATGGGGCGTGATCTCACAACCCTGAGACTATGACCTGAGCCGAAGTCAAGAGTGGTATGCTTAATTGACTGAGCCACCCAGGTGCCCTGCCCCCCTTCTTAAAGTAGGCTCCACGCCCAGTGTGGGGCTTGAGCTCACTACCCTCAGATCAAGACTTGGGCTGAGATCAAGAGCCAGACGCTTAACCAACTAAGCCACCCAGGCACCTAAATACTCGTTTTTTGATGCATCATTGAGTTGGCACATTATTTCCTTACTAGTTAAAAATGTTTTTAATCTCTGCATCTTCCTCTCAGGTTTGCTGTGAACCTAAAACTGCTTTTATAAAGTCTTACACTTGGGTGGCTCAGTTGGTTGAGTGTCTGCCTTCGGCTCAGGTGTGGGATTGAGTCCCACATCAGGCTCCTTGCTCAGTGGGGAGCCTGCTTCTCCCTCTGTCTGCTGCTCCCCCTGTGGTGCTTGCTCTCTCTCTCTGACAAATAAATAAAAATCTTTAAAAAAAAGTCTTTAAAAAGATGTTTTAAATGAATTACTCATGTATTTGATATCTGTGAATCCACGTGCTCACTAAATGTGTGTCTGCCCCCAAATCAATACTCAGGATCTTCTCATAGTCATTTAGGACTCTGCACGGATGGCCCTGGGGGAGGCTTAATTAACAAGGCAACACTCTGCCTTCCTGTTTTAGCTCTCATACTAGAAGCAAGTTTCTTTTTGAGGTCTGTTAAGTGCCATATTTTCCTGCTTTTTCTTGGTGATTTCACTCTTTAAAATGGCCCTGAAGAGTAGTGTTGAAGGACTACCTGTTGTTCCAGAAGGCTGGTTGTGCAGATGGGGAAAATATACATGTTAGATCGGCTTCATTCAGGCATTAAGTTACTGACCCCGCGCTGTTGACTGCGTTCTCCGGTAACGAATAAAATGTGTATGTCAAAGGAAGTGTCTTTAATAAGAAACAGAAAACAAAGTTATACGTGATCAGCTGACAGAAATGCTGTAACTAGGGGCTTGTAGGAACCTAACCCTGTGTTTCCCTTAGAATGTTTCAGTATTTACTAACTCAGTGTTCATGCGGATTTTATAGAACATAGTAACTACCATGAATATTAAGACTCAGTTGGTTAACTGAGCTCAGTTGGTTAAACATCCACCCTTGATCTCAGCTCAGGCCTTATCTCAGGGTCATGAGTTCAAGCCCCACATTGGCCTCCACCCTGTGCATGGAGCCTACTTAAAAATTTAAAAAAATAAATAAATAAATAAATAAAAAAGAACTGATTGTATACTCAAAATAATGTGGTTAGAAACGGCCTCACAGTGAGCAAGAGGAATTATTTCAAAAAAAATTCTTATGACTCATTTATAATTTTCCTTTTAGATCAGTCTTTTTTTCCTCTTAAAGTTTGATTGAAAACATAGAAGAACATACAAAAAAGAAAACATAGGTTGTCTTTTTGGAGAAAAATGAAACATTATTTCTTTAATTTTCCTTTAACTTCTGAAGGTGTTAGCTTATTATGCTGAATAGTAAAACTGAAAATATTAAAAACTATATTAATATCATTTGAGTATATCTTTTGGGAATATGATGTTGAGGTACAGTAATTTTAGTTAAGATTTTATGAAGGCACTGACATGGTACTTTTTTATGTATTTTTTTAAATTTAAGATTTATTTATTTGAAGGAACGAGAGAGAGAGCATGAGCAGGAGGGAAGGGTAAAGGGAGAGGGAGAAGCAGATCCCTGCTGAGCAGGGAGCCCAACGTGGGGCTCAATCCCAGGATCCTGGTTCATGACCTGAGCCAAAGGCAGTTGCTTAACCGACTGAGCCACCCAAGCACCCTGACATGGTACTTTTAATATCTATGGCTAGCACTTGTTGAGTGACTCGTAGGAAACAGGAGACCCATGCTAGGTACTTTGTAGATAACAGAGATAACATCTCTAACCCCAGTAACAATCCTGCGGGTTTATATGGTTATTCTCATTTTATGGTTGAGGAAATTGACGTTGCTCAGAGGATAAATCCCCCAAGAATACCTACTTGAGGAGTGAGAAATTCAAAGCCGGGTCTGTTTGTTTTCAAATCCTAAATTCTTCCCACCTTTTACATAGCCTTGTAGCAAGCATGCCTCCCAGATTTGGTGGAGTGGTAAAAAAGAAGTTCCCCTTAGATTTAATTTCTGTCACCAAAAAATTGAAAATTTTTGCCAATGCAGCAATCTGTTTTCTGATACTTTCTGATACTTTCATTATTTTTACATGCTTTGCATTTGAAAATAATGCTTTTCATTATTTTACATGCTTTGCATTTATCCACTTGAGTGGATAAATTCTAGAGCTTTCCATTCAGAAATGAGAGTTTTAGCTATTTAATGAATTGGACCTTACAAATAACCTGACCTTGGGTTCTTCAGAATGTTAGTATAAAAATTATTGCCAACTGCTGCTAATATTTTGTGTGAGAGAAATTCTTAAAATTCAGACATAGCCGTAGAATGGGGAGTATTTTCGAGAGGTTATGAAATTTGCTAGTTGGAGAAAACTTTGCCCTTTTCTTCCTTCAGCAGGAACTCGGGGAGTGAGCTCCAAGTATATTACGCGTCACCTAGAAGTTACCAAGACTTCTTTGAGGCCATCCGCAGGAGGGGAGACACGTTCTATGTGGTGTCATTTCGAAGGGTAAGTTCACTCTGAAAGACTAAAGAATTTTTGAGTACCTGCTAGGTGCAGGGCACCGGGCGGCCTCCTGCGGGAGGGAGGGAGAGCTGAGATAGGACGAGGCCTAGCCGCGTCCAGAGAGTGGAACCTGGAGTACGTGCTTGTCTGTGCTGTTGGCATTGTGAAGACCAGCATAGAATTGAGGTCAGGCAACGAGTTCATATTTGGAAAATAGAAACGGCATACTGATTTTGATTCGTTGTCATTCCTATATCCATCCTGGTTGGTTTTAACAGAAGAAGTAAAAACACGAAAATTTCTTTTTAGGTTTTGGGGTGTTAGTCCCGTTTGGTTACTGAGAAACAGATTTCTCAGGAGTGGGATTAAGGTGAATCGTGGACTGATCGATATGTTCGTGTGGAGTGCTTGGATTCATGTGTCTGAGACTTCCTGTTCTTTTCTCACTTCTTCATCATTTACTCCTGTTGGTGAAGATGTGTTAGTTTGTGCGAAAGGAAGTGTTTGTTTGAGTACTTGAATGTTACAGATGTTAAATAGAAGCAAGGCGCAGAGCTGTGTGCTTTCCGTCTACTTCTCCTGTAAAATGAAAATATATGTTTCGCAGAGCTGCCATGTGAATGTCTCCGTGAGAGTGCTGTGCGTTCAACCGGGAACACACGAATGAGTTAGAATTCCTTGGAGATTTGTATCCTAGGCTTTTTGTTTCTTTTCTTTTTTTAAGAATGTAGAAGGGACACTGTTAGAAATAAGCACATGCTAATTGTAGAGTAAACAATTCATTCTCGGATTGTTGTCCCCACTCACTATCTGAAATTCTCAGTCAACACAGTTCTTTTCCTAACATATCTATATATAGATCTATAGATCTATATATAGATCTATATATCTAGTAGCTCAGGATATTAGGATCAGAGAACTTTGACAGTTGAAGATGAGAGAAATCAGACATGTCCTATATTTTTAGCTGTTAATCAAACACACTTAGAGATTTGGAATACTTTTGTAGTGCCGCCTCATGATCTCCGCCTTTTCCTTCTGTCCCGCTTATTCTCTCAGACATAGTTGGTATTCTGTGCTGTGCCCACCTCGAAGTGCATTTCCAGCAGCAAGGGGGCAGCTGAGAACAGGGTTTCAGCAAGGCTCCGGTTGTACTGGCTTCTGAGAACTAAGTATTTGCTTTAGTGTTGACACAGTCATGTTAAAAGTGGACAGAAAAAACTAAAGTTGAGAAATGAGATCTCGCAGCACTATGAAGAGACCTGATGGGTGTCAAAAAATGAATGTGTTGAAGTATCTGTTTATGGGAGCTACCAGAGGAGAGTGTTTTTAACACACGAATAGCTGAATGCTTTTTCTCAGGTTCCAGATAATTTCTCTATTATTTAACCAAAACAGTATATATGGTACATATTGGATGTATCAGTGATCATGCCATGGGTTGTTGAAGTCCTACGTGGTAATGTTTTTCTGGGGAAGAGAACAATAATCCTAGCTTTAAAGGGATTATATATACAAAGGAAGATGAATGGTATTTTTATTTTAGATATACACATTATATTTCTTGTGTTTATAAGAGCTCTTTCTCCTTAGTTTGCTGTAAAAAGTGCTGTTGAAAAATTATTGTTTAACTCCCTGTGCCCCCAGCTTTTTGATGTTCTAGAAGAAACAGTTTTTCTCATGTTGTGGAAAACTGTTAGGACTATCTGTCACATTCTGTTTGGATTCTTATTTCCTAATTACTGCTTTATCACATCTTGGTGTTTTATATCAAGGAAAAGTGAGAATGAACCTGAACTTCATTAGGTAACAGGAGTTAGAGACAACATCCTGTTTCATTTCTTCTTGTTTTATTTTAACAGCAGGACTAAGGAAGTTAATTTTATCATGATGACTGTAAACTGTGTCATGCGACAGGAATTTGGTTCTTAAATGCCGGATTGTTCTTTTTGTTCTTGCTAAAATGAAAATGAAAGAAGTAATGACCTCATGCTTCGTTTTCGCTTCCATTTTTCAATATAAAATATTCTTCTAACATTTTCGTTAAAAAGATGAAGGGCATCATTTCCTGTGCAGAAGGATGCAGGCTTTTTTCTCCCAGTTTGGCTCTTAATTTCATTGACAGAAATTATTATAATTGATACCGTATGATTGCATTGGAATTTAAGAAATACAGAGGTTCTAAAGCCCCAAGGTTTGGCTTCATATAAACCAGACATAACAGAGCCAGTAAGCAAGCTATATTGTTTTATTTTATAAGTGAATATGTGTTTAATGAAATATTTTACTATCTAAAAAAGTAGACGTAGCCATTGACTATTTAGTATACCATTATTTGATAAACCTACTCTGTCCCAGACTTCTACCTCCTCACACCCCACGTTCCCGTGCTCTAATCACATTACAGTTGAGCTGCTGAAATAATTTTCTCCAAGACTCACTCTTGGATAACTACTGACTTCCTGGTTTAGGCCAGCAGGAAAGAATGCTTATGATCCCAGTAATCCTGTCAGAGGTTCAAACCTTTTCCTGTTCTTTTGATTTTGCTTTAAGTTTTTGTCTCCCAACACAGTAACTCCCTCTACTCCCTTTTATTTAGTTCCAGGTGTTCATAACTTATTTTCTTAGAAGTATTTTGTCTCTTAGTCCTTTCTTTGACTTGTTTTACTATGATTTGGAGCCTGGGTGGTGGAAAATAATGTTTTCTCAAACTTCCAAGTCACTTTGAGTGTGGTATAACTGATAAATTAATAAGAAAAAAATCCAGTTAAGTTTAATGTTTATTTTTTCTCCGTGCTTCCATATGATAGTCTGTCTAGGGAGGGAGTAAATTAAAGAATATGATGAAATGAATTCAAAAGCATGGGGCAGAAGCAAATACTAAAGAAGGCTTATGTAAGGTAGGATAAGAAAGTGCTTCCAAAGAGGGGAGGAAAGGTAACATTGAGAAAAAAGCACGAAAATGATATTTACTTTGTCTATAATTCCACTAAACATTGAAATACTACTCTAGATGCCACTCTCTCGTCTTCTGATAACTAGAGAAAGGAATTTCTGTCTTGCCGGGAGCAACTCCCCATTAGGAACAGGCTCTCTCTGATTCATGGGGCTGCGAATGTCAGCTCACCGTATTGTCTTCATTCTTATTGGAGATGTCCTTTCCAGTGAGATGGAAGTCTGCGTTCTGGAACTCTATGTATTTCTTTTATATTTTCTGTTTGCAATACCTGTCCCTCAAATAAAAGTCAGACACTTAACATTGTCTTCTCATCTGTTTCAGATACATACATAATGTAACACACATCAGGAGAACCTGAGCTCTGGTTGTACGCCTGCTCCGGATATGGTTCTCTCCTCTGCCTCCTGAGTACTTTAGGCATTCGAGATACAATACCATGCTCTTTTTGAATATTTTTTGTGTTCTTTGATACACTACCATATTTGGGTATTTTACCCCTTCTTGGTCTCTTATAAAAAACTTACTAAAGAGCTGTGAATCTGCTTTACCAATCCAAGGTATCGTACACATGGCATGGATTCTTAGGATAACCTTAAATAAGAGGGTCTTATTGTAAAATACATAGGAGCTGAAGAAGCGCGGGAGACTGGCTCAGCAGCCAGATAGTCCCTCTGGGCTTGTGCTTCCTAGACTGGGACGCATACTGGGCCTCATAGAGATTGCAGTGGTGGCTCGTTGTCATTCCTGATCCCACGGCGGCGCCAGTGATTCTGTGTTGGTCTCGTTTACGTGTCGCTTACTGAGGCTTCCCAAAGAAAGGATCTGATTGTGTGTGTGTGTGTGTGTGTGTGTGTGTGTACGCCATGGGTGCACACACATATGTATGAATGTATGTGTGTATGTATGTATACTTACATCATCTCTTACGTACAGTCTTATATAGATAGCCTGGCTCATGATTCATGGTCCATTCATTTGCGACCAGGGAAATAGGGTTGATTTCAAATGTAGTCCCTTGCTTTGTGGGCCAGTAACTTCGTGCAGAAGGAACAGCCTAGGGCCACTCTTCTGAAAAAGTGATTGTGATGGGCCCTTAGAGCTTCATAAATTGTTTATTACACTCTACAACCTGATTTCTATAAAAAAAAATTCTTATATTGATGCCTAATTGTTTGATTTAAAAGCTTATCTTCTGTTTATATCCTAACCCTCTTAAAGGCAGGAAGTGTCATAGCTGTTTTATTACCATCCCTGACACTCAGCACAATGCCAGCTACTCAGTGTTTATCAAATGGCACAATTTTAGATAACAGTTCACTAAAAGAAGTCAGTGATGGAAGTTTGTTGCTTTTCATAATCATTTAAAGGGTACTTTTGCATCTGCTTTGCCTAAAGAGCTGTGAATCTGCTTTACCAATCCAAGGAATAACATAAGCCGTGCTGAATTTTAGCAGAAAATTTAGAGATGACCTTTCTCCACTTACGGTTACACTAGCCGGAGCTGCATCAGCTTTGTTCTTGTCTCTGAATCTGAGTTTTGGAGCTGAAGAAGTGACCTGCCTGAAATGATTGACTATGAAATGTTTAACAGCCACGAGGTAGAACTTTGAGGTGCTTACATCCTCATTTTTTTAATGCTTGGCAGAAACATTTTGGAGGAGATTGTCGTTAGACCTCATTGCTTTCTTTTTTTTTGGAGAAAAGATGATGTCTAGTATCTGTAGATTCCAGCAGCAAGAGCCAGAAACTTGAAACCCTGGACAAAGTATAGGAAAAGCTCTAATTATTGGAAGGCTGGAAGGCTGACTTGTGATGTTATTGGTTCAAAATGTTTGCCAAAGATTGATTCTCATGGAAGGCCATAAAAAAGAATTTCACAGAATAACTATGATATTTTCTAAGTGTAATGCCTGGATTAATACCTAGTATATGCTTAGAAGAATGGCATGGGTTTGGGTTTTTGTTTTTTTTTTTTTTTGATGCTTTTTATTTACTTCTTAGAATTACTGCTTAGCATATGTATACAAAATCCTCAGAGGCAAGA